AGAGAGAGAGAGAGAGAGAGAGAGAGAGACAGAGACAGAGACAGAGACAGAGGTAGACCGCCTCACATATCTCTATGAACTACGAAACAGGTAAGAGAACATGAATCCATTGTGACGCGCTTACTTTCTGGCTGTTCCTCAAGACTTGAAAATCTGCCATTCTCTGAGACATAACTTCTTTGTTCAAACAGATTTTCCCGATTTTGCTTTCCTTATCTGAAACTTTAAATGACACGTAACAACACCTATACTACGAAATCTGCAAAATCATGTATCTATTATCTATTTGTGGTGGCCGAATTTTGCTATTCAAAAGGATTTTTAATGGCTGCATCGATCGACATGCGGTTTTCGCCAAAAAATTCTTTAAAATATTCTCCAGATCATGGCGCCCTTGGTTTTTTCAGTTTTGAGACAATTGTGCTGCAAAAAGCTAAATTTCCTTATTTCGCCGATCGCTTTAGTAGGCCGACGCTTCTGTCTCTGTAATTTTAGAAAATATAGATGTGATATTTCGCGAGGCGCATTTTGTTTTGAGAGTATAGATCTAGACCTTCTAATTTTTTGCATCTCTCAAGATTTATTTCCCCATTCCAGTAGTGTGTAAATAGTAGGCCAATGACTTTTAGTTGATATTAAAGAACCGATCATCCCTTCCATCGAAAGGGGGCCCAGCTTGTCTATTTATATAATACGATATGATGGTTCAACGTGGGCCGAAATATCGTCCTTATTATGCTGTTCATCGGACAAAATATCAATATTCAATATTATTATCATGTCCCAGATACATACTTAATGAATAGTTGTCGTTTTTCTTTCCCATTTCCTGTTTTGATGTTGCTCCTGAGGAAGCCCAAGAGGCGAAACGTTGAGCTATTAAACATATTTTAAACGTTTTATATTGTTATGTTATTTTGTCTGAAATTCAAATAAGACTCTCCCTCCTACTCTGCTTTCCAAACAATGATGATGATGATGATGATGATGATGATGATGATGATGATGATGATGATGATGACGACGAGGAGGAGGAGGAGGAGGAGGAGGAGGAGGAGGGGAGAAGGAGGAGGGGGAGGAGGAGGAGGTAGAAGAAGAGGAGAAGAAGGAGGAGGAGATGGAGGAGGAGAGGGAGAACCTTAAAGAGCTTATATTATTTATGTACGTGGGTCCTTCGCCCTTAAGTAGCTCTTCCTTCATTACAGGAACGTTAAGATTAGTTAGTGTGAATATGAGCAAGCACTCGATACACCACATCGGCTCCTTGGCACTTGATTAGAGTTGGGCAATAGCCTCGAGGACTACCATACCACCTACTGAGGTCAAAGATATCTTATATAATATATAGTAGTCTAACCAGTGTGTTCTACCAGTCGAATTGAGTCGGTCAAATTGAGTCGGTCAAATTGAGTCGGTCAAACTGAGTCGGTCAAATGGAGTCAGTGAAACTGAGTCGGGTTCAGCCAGATTTCCCAACATGGAGGGAAAAAAGCTATACCATTTTTAACTCAATACAACCAATTCAATTCCCAAACTTGAAAAACAAATGTGTTTGGTTTGCAAGGTCACAATCGAATTTAGTCGAATTCGGTCGGTCGAACTGTAGTAAAATGGTAGTTTTTGTCCGTCATCCAAGAAGGAAATTGTAGCTGGCTCCGAATAGATCGAATTGAATGCATTCGATTGGCAGTCTGCACTTGATACAAGCCGATTTCCGCTTGATATTCGCACATTGGCTAGCCGTACTTATTCGATCCGACTCGGTCAAATAAGGTCAAATAGTTAATATAATTCAAGTGTGCTCTCCATCTTAATTTACTGGTTGTGGGGGAGGGGGCATGGGGAGGAGGAGCGGGGGGGGGGAGGTTGAGGTTGAGGGGGGAAGGGGGTTTAGGTAATGATAAGATTATCTCTGGAAGGTGGTCCTTTGAAAGGTGAAGTGAGGACACGACTTACGTTGAAATAGGCAAAGGAGCTTGTTAGAATTAAAATACCATAAGTTCTGAGTTCTCGGTGGGTCTGCATTTACTCATTCTCTCTCTCTCTCTCTCTCTCTCTCTCTCTCTCTCTCTCTCTCTCTCTCTCTCTCTCTCTCTCTCTCTCTCTCTCTCTCTCTCTCTCTCTCTCTCTCTCTCTGTCTACGTCTCACATTTCTCTCTATTAACTCCCCTTGTACAGGCCACCACATTACCACAATCCTTGGCCGGCCGCGCAGACCTGAAGGCTGAATCA